TATTAGCATTCTTTTAGAAAATAGCATAAATTCTCCTTCAGTTTACTCTGTTGTTTCATCTAAAGACCTCAGTTGGTACTGGAGTATGTTTCAATGGGCTGCAGTCCAAGTGTTAGTTCAGAAAGGCTGCAAAGACAGGCTATTTATCATGGGGACATCACAACTAAACCCAATTCCATGTCCTCCATTCATACCTGCGTAGTTCTAAACAAGCTAAACTATCACCAACATAACATGTAATGCTGACAGGTCAGTCCAAGTAATGACTTGTTCTGGAATGAAGGGCTGAGACTCAAGTGTCCAAGTAAGTTTGTGTGGGCACAACAGGAAGCAACTATGATTTCTTCACATCTCTTACAACATTGAAAGGAGAATTAAGTGTTTATTGTGTAGGTTTTGGAAGTAGATCAGTCAAAGCCACCTTTTTTCTCACAATGTTCTATATAAAACTAGCTTCCTGCTTCTTAATCAAGAATGTCTATTAAACATTTTGTGATCAACTATCTCTCAACCAGGAAGGCTGCTGCTAATTGGTGTCTCCCAAAAGCTAAATGTGAGTCCATATTGTAGTTTACATCACCTAATCATATTACTGAATTATCTGTATCAGCTGCAGAATCATTATCAACTGTGGGATAAATAATCAGGTCCACATGAACTGTTTTTTATGACAGGTAGGCTTTGTTGTTTATTAAACAATCTCTCTTGAATACATTTGTTTGTCTAATAAATGGGAAAATAAATCCACTGCATTTCAACATTGTTGAATTGTGATTGTCTTTCTTACAACAATGAAATAATAGCCAGTTCCAACAAATGCAGTCTTTGTATCATTGTAATAGTTAATTTTCTTCTAAATATTTAGCTTTTTAATTATGGCAAAGCACACTGCCAGTCCTTCACATTGCACATTTATTGTGATTTTATTTGTTACACTTCTAAAGATGCAAGGTGCATCAGACAGCTTGCGTGCACAAATAAATCTTCTTGATATTAATAATGTTGAAAATAAAACAAGTTTTCAGTGAAACTGTTAGGGAACAACTGTTAATGAAACTGTTATGAAACATTTATGAAAATGAGTTATGGTCTACAAGAAACCAGCCACTGTGCTTGTTAGAACAAATGAGTTTGACAATCTATGATTGATGGCATAGTTCAAACAGTAATATTAAACAGTGAAAATCAAAGTCCCGATTTTAACCCAGTTGAACAGCGCAAAAGGAATGGATGGGAAGTTAACATGGTGAAAGATGGGGTGGAATTTATGTTGCATTTCGCTCTGTGTTATTGTCAGTTGCTAGCATTCACTTGTTCTGTAGCTTCTTGCCCTATCTAGGCAGATCCCTAATCAGAATAGGAATGTCATGGCCTTGTGATATGATTGGTACCTCAAAACAATTATAACTCCTGCCTTACTCTGAATCCCCCGTATTAGTTACTTTTTAACATTTTGTTAAAGTTACTTCTGATCCAGGAGGAGGAAGACTTCTCATTATCTAACAAGAAAATCCTGAGCTTCCACTTGCATCGTGATTGAGGCCTTTTGGAGTTTATGACATTTCAGAATCTTAATCTTGTTTTCAATAGAAGATTCTTGGGAACTGAAATATGATCAAGTCTTGTGTTTTATAATGAAACAAATTTGCACAGGTTTAAAATGAAAGATCACAGGCTTCAGGCTTTGAAGAAAGTATATTAAAGCCAGATGAATTAGTAACTGAATGGAAGTGTCATTACACAATCACTAAATGGAAAGAAACTGCAGAATACTGTAACACAAAAGGACTTAGGGGTACTTGTGCATGAACACTGAAAGCTAGCACACAGGTGCAGCAGGTAATCAGGACAGTAAATGGAATGTTAGCCTTTCTTTCAAGGTAGTTTGAGTATAAGAGTAGGGAAGTCTTAATGCAGCTGGACAAGTTGCTAGTGAGACCACGTCTGGAGTATTGTAAGCAGTTTTTGGTCCCCTTATTTAAAGAAAGATATCATTTCGTTGGAGGCAGTACAGAGAATGTTCACTTAGATGATTCACAGGATGGAAGGATTGTCTTATGAGCAAAGGCTAAACAGGTTGGGAGTCTACTCACTGGAGTTTAGAAGAATGAGAGGTGATCTCATTGAAACATACAGGATTTTTAAGGGGCTTAACAGGGCAAATGCTCAGAGGATATTTACCCTCATGGGAGAACCAGAAGACATAGTCTCAGAATAAAGGGATGCCAATTTAAGACTTTCTTCCCTGAGGGTTGCAAATCTTTGGAACTCCTTTCCACAGAGAACTGCGGGGGCAGAATCCTTGTGTATATGTAAGGCTGAGATAGATAGATTCTTTATCAGTGGGGGATTCAAGGGTGAGAGAAGAGGGAAGGAAAGTGGACATGAGGAGTATTGCATCAGCCGTGATGTATTCAGTCATGGAGAAGACTCGAAGACCAAAATGGCCAACTCCTGTTTCTATTTCTTATGGTCTTATGGTATAATGTAGGAATACAGAAGCAAAAGTAGGCCATTTTGCCCCTTGAACGTATGCCACTATGCAATAAGATCATTACTGATCTGGTAGTGGTCGCAACTCTACTTTTCTATCTGCGCCCCCATAACTCTTGACTCCCTATCTGTCTCAATCAGCCTCAAACCAGTAAAAAGGATGTATTAATTGTCCAATGGTTCTCATGATCCACAAACAAGCTTCCATTGACGGTCTTTGTGAGGCCTATCACAATTGTCCCATCGCCCAGACCTTATCTGTTTGCCCATTCAATGTTGAAGTTGATTAATCTCCCAAATTGTCATAACTGATGAATTGGTGTTGACATTTAAACAAGATCCAAAGCAGAAAATGATCAACTTTTGAGCAAATAGAGCAATTACTACAGAACAAAACAAAAGTTAAAGATCACCCTCAAGATATTCAATTTCAATTGCTTTCCTTTTGCTTGTACAAAATACACATATTTAGATCTTGGGCCATATAGGTACACCTCTTGATACAAAATGCCCCAATCATATACAAGTGCCCAGCATCATGGTATTCAATAGAATATCTAAAGCAGACTTGAAACTTTGTTGAGTTAAGTAGTTTTATATGGTTTATCAATAATAATCATTCTGTAACATTTTTTTTTTAACAACTGTAATGTCAAAGTTGGATTGCAAAGCATGATGGTCAGGATCACTAAAAGATATCAATTTGCTGCTTTTGGAATGTAAGTGGTGAAATTAGCCATGCTGAAAAAGGGGAAGTTATACAGAGAGAAATGGACCCCACCAACAACTTGATCTGGTTCATTGCAGGGGCAACGGATATAATAGCAGATTCTATGCTTGAAAAGATAGAACAGTTAACCCAATATATTGAGAAAAAAAACCCAAAGAACTGCAGATGCTGTAAATCTGAAACAAAACATAAATTGCTGGAAAAATTCAGCAGGTCTGCCAGCATCAGTGGAGAGAAAGCAGAGTTAATGTTTTGGGTCCAGTGACCCTTCTTCAGAAATGTTAACTGTGCTTTCTCACCATAGATGCTGCCAAACCTGCTGAGTTTCTCCAGCAATTTATGCTTTTGTTCCGAATATATTGAAATTGCTTGAGTAAACACTGGTTCTGTGTAAGAAAATTAAATGAGATCATGAAGACAGAATATGGAGCAATTGTTTGCAGAAAATAAAGGCTACAATGAATATGAAACTGCAGTTTGGTAGCTAAGCTATTTCATTTTAGAAATGTATTTAATGTAATTATTTGTTGTATTTCATTGTTAAGCTATTAATAGAAATGTTAATATTAGAACCATTGTATAAAAGGGAAACACCTGCAAAGGTCAAAGTGTTGGGGCAAGAGATGGGAGGATGATGATGAGAGAGGGGCACAGGGGTGGGGCATGTTATGGTCTATCAATGACATCCGCTTGATCTAATTATATTAACCAGCATAAACTACAGTCTAATATGGAATGGTAGGGGTCTCTTGATGAGAATAAATGGAAAGTGTTATTGGACATCATTGACACACACCTAGAGAGGCAAACTATAGTCAACAGAACACAAGAAGAAAAGAGGAAGAGGAGACTTTGCCCTCAAAAATCTTGGAATCCCTCAAAAATCAATGCCCTGGCCCATTGTTGTTGTGAAGTATTAACTTTATATTTCTGTGTGATACTTAATAAACTGTTTAGCTTATTTAAGGTACATATTTGGAGGTTAGAATTCGTAAAGAGCTCTGAGCAAGAGGGTTTGGGGTATCCACTGTCTCACATAGATTATCATATTCTGTGGTCTGTCACTGTAGGACACCTTCCAACTTGCTGAAGATAATGACCTGTAAAGGTCACCACCTGAAAGACACTAGACATTTATTGGGTTAGTTACATTGATTATAATTGAAGAAGAGAATGAAAAGATAAACGTTTCTGTTAGAACTATAATATGGCAGTAAGTATGAAATGTATTTGTACTCAATGTGATTTGGTCATAAGATGAAAGCATATCAGAACTGTTTGTTAATATATTGAGAGAGTACATTTTATTTTGTTGTACTTTTTTTTTTACTAGTTTTTCCCACTGGCAAAACTGAATACATTTCAACAGCTTCAATATTGCCATGCAAAATATTGTCGTAAAGAGGTAAATAAGTTGTTGGGTGACCCAATGCATCACTTAGCAACTGGTTCAGAAACAAACTACAGGTCCAGAGGTTGGTCAAAAATAGAAAATAAATGTATTGAGATCTGTTATCATCTGATTTTCACTTGTTTTCTTCCTCTGGAGTAAACAATTTCTCTGATTCACAAGCAGGAAATTAAGTAACCAACCTCTGGACCTGTAGTTTATTTTTGAAACATTTGCTAATAATTTATTTGCTTCTCTATGGTAATATTTTACATGTGATAATCTTAAAGCTGTTGAAATGTGTTCAGTTTTGCCAGCAGACCAATCCAATCCAATGACAAGGCCAGTCACAGGAAGCAGCCATCTTTCCTTCATTGGTCAAGGGTCAGAATTTGAAGTTACTGCAATGAATTGCCAACCTTTTTACATAAGGCTTCTGTTCCTAGCAAAGCTGGTAAGTATCTAGCTGTTGAGTTGACTGGAGTCTACTTAATATAAACTCCTTGCCAGTTCCTATAGAGTAATTCTTTGGCAGTTGCTACTCTAAATTTGAAAACAAAACTGTTTTCCTTTTCAGAAAATTGAGCGATGAAATTCTTCACTAAGAAATTCGGAGGAGTGGATATCAGGGTAAGAAATCTAAATATGCTGACCACTAAAATTATCAACTTAAAGAATTTCACCCAAAGATTGCCATGGAAACACTATGAATTGGCTTTAGCTTCTAGGCAATTATGTCGTTATGTACATCTGGGTGAAATTGGTTGGGAATCTAAGTTACAACAAGATTGCTTGCTTTACCCTCTGACTGATTTCCCCCTCAGAGTGAAGTAGGCAGGTCAATGCTGTTGCTTAATCAGTAGTTAACACATGTAGTGAATAAAATCTAATTATAAACAGCCCTTTTTACCTGGAGTAAAGTTTTAAGCGATGACTTGTAAAGTAATACAGCACTAGATGCATGGGAATTCAGTGTTCTTACCAGTTTTAGGTTGCTGTTTAATCACTTCAATTTACAGTTTGAGATGAAATTTATCAGTTTAAAAGTAATCTCACAAGGGTTTTTATGTTAAAAGAAATCTTTTGATAAGATGACTAACTGAATTTTTAAGGAGATTGTAGTAATTATGAAAGAATTTTCAGAAAGTATTCAATAAGGCATTACACAATGGATTTATTACAAAAATGGTTAATACACATTGGACATAACAGATTTGGATAAATGGGCTTTTATTCTGGTTTGAGGGTGTGAGGTTGTGTAGGTGAGGGGTTAGTTATCACTTACTTTTGATCACCATTCACCACCTTAAACAATAATTTCCATCACCACCTGCACACATAATAGCTGCAATGTGTACCATCAACAAGATGCACAGTAACTTAACAAGTCACCTTCAATAGCACTTTTCTGAGTCATATCCTCTACCACCTTGAAAGATAAGGGCATCAGGTGCATTCCTTTCAGGTTTTCCTCTAAGCCACTCACCATGTGGACTTGTAACTGTATTTACCATTCCTTCATATTGCTGGGTCAAAATACGTGAAACTGCCTCTGTTACAGCACTGTGGATGTACCTACATGCCATGAACTGCAGAAGTTCAAGTAGGTATCATATTACGATCTTCTCATGGGTAATAAGCAATGGACATCAAATGCTGACCCAAAGTGCTTTTGGCAGAGTCTAGGAGATGGATTTGCTGACCACAGGACTGGGAATTCACTGGAGGAATTCCTCCAATCAGCCACTCAAAAACTCCAGGTGATAATACTGATCAAAGAGAAATATCTGATTACTGAGAACTCAAAAGATAACTGAAAATAATCGCTGACTTGAGATACTGAGACTATTTCACTGAAACAAGGCTGAGATGAGATTTAGTTGAGAGTTTTGAATACTGTCTGGTTCTGACAGGATGATTTGAGAATATCTATTTCCTTCTCATCACAGAGTCACATGCTGAGAAAGTCAGTTTCTAATTGTTCTTGCAAGAGAATCTGTGAACAGAATTTTGCCCAAATCTCAGTTGCCACAGTTTTCATTGTTCCATCATTATTGCAAAAATGGGAATATCATTTTCTCACCATGTGTTATTTGGAGGATCTGCAGAGCGAGCGAAAGAGGGATTAAAGGTGAATTTAATAGCATCGGAAGTCCACCAACCAGAGGTTACTTACTCTACCTACTTGCATATGTGCCTTAAAATATCATTTTCTTATTTTTTTATTCATTCATGGGATAAGGGCATCACTGGTTAGGCCAGCATTTATTGCCCATCCCTAATTGGCTGAGGGCAGTTATTGCTGTGGACCTGGAGTCACATGTAGGCCAGAACGGTTAAGGGCAGCAATTTCCTTCCCTAAAGGACATTAGTGAACCAGGTGAGCTTTCCTAACAATTGACAACGGATTCATGGTCATCAATAGATTCTTCATTCCAGATATTTATTGAATTCAAATTCCACCATCTGCTGTGGAGGGATTTGAACCTGGGCCCCCAGAGCATTATCTGGATTAACAGTCTAGTGGTAATACTACTAGGCCATCCACCTCCGCTGAATAATTGTATAACTTCATAATTAGCAGGTAGTGTTTTATTAAGAATACAGTGATGACATTGTACCATCTGTTGAACTCTGACAATCAACCAATCAGCACAACATGAGAAGCAATCTCTGCGGTGATAAATGTTACCACAACCCTGCTTTGGTATCCAGGACAGTTCCATCATAGTGTGTGAGGTTACATCATTGCAAGCTATCTCATTAATCTTTCATAACATCTACCAATGGCCAGTTCACAGATGTGTTCAGTGAGTGCCAGATATGCTGTTTACAAGATCAATTTAAAAACTCACCCCATGTGCAGCCAACAGCAAATTGAGTGGATTGCTCATGAATTTTTTAGGGCAATTGCCCTATAAAGTATTCTGTGTTTTACTTGTTTGATCACTGAATCCTAACAAATTATGTCACGGTGCCATGTTATGTTGTATTTGTGTGTGAGTGTATGAGTAGCTGCAGGGAGAAGGAAAACATAAGCATGGTACTCACCTTGTGTTACTGAGTTACTTGCTGACTGAGTCCCATGTGTTCTGAAGGAACAGCACTTCATTTAGCATGGCTCATTCACACTGAACAGGGACTGTAGACAATGGCAGTCTTTTGTTTGTGTCCACTCCCGCCTGATGAGCGAGGTGCTGAGTCAATGCAGACTCTGTACATCCCAGGACACTGTGACGGAACTGTGCTGGATACTAAAGCAGGATTGAGACTGCAGGAGTGGGGGGGCATCCTCTACTGGTGACTGTGATGTGACAGTGCTTTGAACTTCTATGCAAATGGCTCTTTCCAGTGAGTGATGAGTGACCTGTGGGGGATCTTTGAGATACTTGCTCACAAATACATCAGGACCGTGACCATTGCATGTGTAAGACCAAACTGGTCCAGTTTTCTGCCCCCATGATTAGTTCAGTGCTGCAGCCTGGACAGTAAGATTCAGGAGCCTAGCTGACTTCCTCCAGGTGCAGAGTGCCATTGAATGCACACACACGGCACTGAGAGGGCTATGTCGCTGCATCCCAGAATCTGTCAACAGGAAGGAGTTCTATTTGATTGATATCCAGGCTTCTACATCCTAGAACACCCTCCTGTTATCTGGAATTTTGTCCAATGGCCTTACCACATTGGTTACTGGGTGCTAAGGGCTTCCCACTGTGACCAAGGCTCATGACACCATTATGCAAGCCCCTAACAGATGCAGAACACAGCAGATCCAATGCTGCTCATTCTTTGACCAGTGCTGTGATGGATTCACCTAACCCTTCCAGCTTTCTCTATAGGTGGTGAAACTCCATTGTTGGTTAAGCATCTGATATGCAACACATATGATCTTCCCATGCTCAGAGCTATGTGTCAGGGGAATAGGTTCCTAATGTGAGATCGAGGATAAACTGAAATCAATTTATGACAGGGATGGCTCTGTGTCAAAACAAGTTGTTGCTCAGTGGTCTGAATGAACAGGCAGAGCAATCCATTTGTCAAAGCCCTTTATATAAGAACTTTGATGAAGAAACTGGTAGTCAGATTTGTGTCTGACTATCTGGAACATTAGAGTGATTACCTTATAGCAAGGCAAATGTTTGAAATAGAGCTGATGGGAAACTTCTAAAGCTTGGAAGAATAGTTGATAGACAATATTATCTGGATGTTAGGTAGAAAAGTCAACAACAAACTTGTATATCCAAGTATGAGAGAGAGAGAAGCAAACTGTTAATGTTGAAATTCAGACTCCAGTTCATTGTAGTCCATTAAAAAGCCATCCATTTGCACAGTGTTTGAGTCAAACCTCACAGAATCTACAGTCAGTGAGTAATGGTTGTGTTTTTGTTGTCATCAGAACAATAGAACATTTTATGAATAACTGTCCTGGTCACCAACTGCTCAGGAGGATTTCTTGATACATTGTGTCTACTAGAAAGGACTTGATTCAGTATTTACTAATTCATTAGCAGCTGCTTTCATTGAGAAGGTTATAATTGGAATCTCCTCTTTGTGGTCATTTAACTCAAAGACACTATCCTACATTGTATAATCAACATTTTAATTCTTTTTTTCTATTCCCTCATAGGATGTAGACATCAGTGGCCGGCCATCATTTATTGCCTGCCCCTAGTTTTCCTTGAGAAGGTGGCAGCAGACTGCCTTCTTGAATCGCTGCAGGCCATGTGCTGCAGGTAGATCCTCAATGGCTTTAGGGAAAGAATTCCAGGATTTTGACCCAGCAACAGTGAGGGAACTAATATCAACCATTTAAAATGATTAGATAATTCCATTAGATAAACTACTGGCAAGCAGAAACTTTAGACATCAATTTCTGCAAGTATTGAGATTGATTCTTTACGGCAGGCTCAATGATCTGACACTTGAACAAAAGATTTCTGTAATGTTCCAAGGCATGATTAATGATTAACCTTTTCATTGATGAACTCTGAACAGATAGACTTGTCACTGGGGCTGGACTTCTTTTGCTTGGCTTCAGATAACCCCACCAGCCATTGTTCTAGTGCGTTGCATGGTCAAGCGGCAGTTGTTTAACCAGTTTTCTATGCTCGTAAACTACTTGATTAAACTATGCAATGATCCTACTTACAATCGGGAAGACCTAAGTCTTGGTCCTCACCGTTGTGCCTGAAGGAGAAACACACAAACTTCAGCTCAATGTACGTGAATATCTCTTGAGCTCTAAAGCACAAAGTCATGTACTTCCTTGACCAAAAATTGTACCATCTGCAAATTGTGAATTTATTACTTTACACACTTACTGATGAAATGTATTTACTGTGACAATTTTTTAAAAACTTTAACATTATCCCATTGCATTCTTCAGATACAAAATTCTGTTACTCGTGAACTGTGTTTGACTTTATACTTGAGTAAGTCAAGAACAAAGATTATACAGTAACGGTTGACAAATTACAAATGTGCTGTTTGAATTCATTTGTTTCCATTGACATCATTCCTACAGTAAAATTACACAACAGCTGCTGATACTGTATTATGGTGATGAAACAATAATCTGTCTACCTCAAAATACAGTGACCAGAAATATCTACTGTCTGAAATTTACAGCAGAACATGTACTGATGTTTCATGCTAATTGGACTCTGTAAAATGCAATAGAGAATGCATGGATTGGTACTAAAAAGCTTGTAGAATAGTGTTGTGGGTAAATGACCAAAAGTTACCTTTAATTCAGCCTCTTATTAAGAAACCTCACAGAGACAATCAAACACTGAAACTGTACTTTAAATGTTATTAAGATTCCTCGAGTAAGCAAGTACAAACCTGCAACCCAGCTTAGCTATTACCCGAGTAATGGTGAAATCTGGCCAGGATTTCAAGAAACTGTGATCTGGCTCTGGAAGTCTCCAGGGTTCAGTCCTTCTGTTCTTCGAAGCTCTGCTGTTGAGTTGTTCTAATGTTGGATTCTTATACAGTTTTCTTTCTTTCAACTTTGTGGTGTGACATTATTGATAATTCTTTAGATTCTTTCTTCCCCAACGTTAATTTTACTTTCAGAGACCTCAAGTCCTCTACTGGTCTTCCCACTAAAAATACCTTCTTTGTTCCTTGTTACATTTAGGGTTAGCTGTGTGTTTAAAAAGTAGCTTTTTCCTGCAATTAACTCCTTTTCTTCAGAGCATTGCTTCAGCAGGCAAGTCTTAATTGTCCATTTGTCACAAGGCAGCAGATTATCAAATAAGTGTTATCACTTCTCTCCCAGGAAACTGCTGGTTTGTATTGTTTATGTAGCTCCTTCTTCCCAGAGATGGTTAATTCACGTGTTGCTGTAACTCCTCTTAATAAGTTTCTAGTTGTTCCTTTCATCTCAAGAAGCAGTTTATTCTAAAAAGAATTATTGCTCTTTCTTTCAATCCATGTGTAACAGTTTATCTTTGTTGATTTTTACAAGGCATGAACAGTTATTAAAATTCTGTAGTTTACATTGTCACAATGGGTATATAATTTTAGAAATGAATTTCAAGTTAGCTAGCTGAAAGAATATGGAGATCACTTCCTTTTCGAAAAAATAGGATGCAGAGGCATGGTTTCACAAATTGCTAAAAACAATAATGTAGTAACTGTGGCTCTAAAAAATGCAAACAAAATACTGTGGTTCATTTTTAGAGTGATAGAATTGAAAGTTAGGGGCATTATATTAAAGTTATCAAAACTTATTGAGAGCATATTTGGAATGCTGTGCGCAGTTTTAATCAGCTTATTATGAAAGGGACACAGCAGCACAGGAGAAAGTACAAAAAAGTTTCACAAGCATAATATCAGAACTTATATTTTTATTTTAGAAATCAAGAAACATACAAGCATGCACAGTAGGAGCAGGAATAGACCATTGACCCCTCAAACCTGTTCCTTGGGCTGAAGCCTGATAGAATGGGATTATTTCCTGCAGGAAGGAGGTCTTTGATATCATGAACAGATTTGACAAAGTAGACTAGAGAAGTTTCAGCTTTAGGGTGGTGCCAAAACAAGTGTCAATAATGTAAAATAGTCTCTGATAAATCCAACAGAGATAAAGCGACTTGACCCAAGTGTGGTAAGAATGAGGAACTCACTACCACAAGACACAGTTGAGGAAACTATCATATCTGCCTTTAAGAGGAGCTAGATCAACATGTGAGGGAGAAATGAATAGAAAAACATACTGATCGAGGTATGAAGAGGGATGGTAGTAGGCTCACATGGAGCATAAGTTGAGGCATGAGCTCCATTTGACTGAATATATCACCACTGTAGATTATTGGTGAGAAGCTGAAACTTTTTATTTTAGAAGTGATAAATGCATTTTTCCCAGAATGCATCCACTGCATACATACACATTTGGCGTCAGACAGCACATTAGAGAGAGAATGAGAATGGGGACAAGGAACAGGTGTCAGAACTGCATGCAGCAGGGAGATCAGAATACCAATCACCATGCAATGTTGATTTGACACCAGTGATTCCATTCTGGAGCTTTACATTCCAGCTAATAACAGCTAAGGCACCCCTCCCCTTTCTTTAGGGATTATCAACTACTTACAGATCAGTGCCTGCTTGACTTCTTCCATCTTCTTTTGATTCTGCAAGTGTTTGATTCTGTCTCCATAGAGTCATAGAGTTATACAACATGGAGACAGACAGTTCGGTCGAACTTGCACAAGTCTACAAGGTCTGGTGCAGCAATTGTTGAAAGAGATATTGTTGTACTGATTTCAAGGCTCCTGAACAAATTATTTGCTCTCAACCATGGATATACCAATATGGATTGCCCTACAGAATGAACAGAGGTCACATTGAGTGGGATAAGCTGTTGGAAGAGGGAGGAGTAGGAGTCAGAGAAAGGCTGTCAGCAGGAGACTATCTCCTTCCAGAGTGTTAAGGAAGCAGTGTACCTAACTGAATGTGAGGAGCAAAGTGTAAGATATCTGTACGTCATTAAGGTCATTCACATTGAAATCATCTATCTGCTGCAGCTGCAACTGCAATTTAAAGCAGGACAATAACTGCATTGCCTGTGTCTGACAAAGTGAATATGGCTCCAAGTTATTATTTTACTTGGTTCCTTCCAGGCTGTCATTGGGGATGTTAGTCATTTTTCACAGTTTGCAGTGCATTATTTCATAAATGTGGTCAATGAGGCTGAGTATTCAACGTGAACTAGCGACGTTTCAATCTGCCCCGCCAGGCATGTAGCCAGAAAGATAGCAGTTGGGGTGGGGTGCCATCAATTGCTTTTCGGCACCACTTGTCATCTGTGCCTTTTCTGGAAGGGAAATGTATTTCTCTCCTTTAACATCCAATAGTGTGTGACTATACACAGAGAAATATGCAGGTCAATAAGCAGACCTCTGTGCTTGCTGTATTGGAACCACAATGGTATACCAAAAGTGACTACTGGGCAATAAAGGCTTTTCACTGGTGCTATGGCTGATGACAGCACTGCACCACCCATGCATGTATATTTAGTATGCATACAGTGAAAACCATCCTGGCACACCAGATTCATAGAATCACAGAGATGTACAGCACAGAAACAGACCCTTTGGTCCAAATTATCCCAAATTAATCCCAAATTAATCTAAGCTCATTTGTCAGCATTTGGCCCATATCCCTCTAAACCCTTCCTATTCATGTACTCATCCAGGTGCCTTTTATAAGTTATAATTGTACAGCCTCCAACATTTCTCTGGCAGCTCATTCAATACACACACTACCCTCTGTGTGAAAAAATTGCCCCTTAGGTCCCTTTTAAATCTTTCCCCTCTCACTTTACACCTAAGTCCTCTAGTTTTGGACTCCCCTATCCTGGGAAAAAGATCTTGGCTATTCACCCTATCCATGCCCTTCATGATTTTATAAACCTCTATAAGGTCACCCCTCAACCTCTGATGCTCCAGGGAAAATAGCCCCAGCCTATTGAGCCTCTTCTCTATAGCTCAAACACTCCAACCCCAGCAACATCCTTGTAAATCTTTTCTGAACCCTTTCAAGTTTAACAACAACTAAACGTGTTGGGAATGTGTAATGAAATGACCACTTAAGCAACGTTTCTGCTGCTTGGGCTGTTCTGACAGAACTTCACTGTTCTTGACAGGGTGGGTAACAAGACTCAGGGTGTTCCTCCACAAGTGACAGAACATTGCTTTCAGAAGGGCAAAGCCCTTGCAGCCAGTTATATTGTGAGCAGCTGAGGAGAAGGGGCATTAGGATGAGCAGGAAAGGAGCACACATTCTTTTCAGCTCTGATGATTGTGAAAACCCAAGTGTGGTACTGGTATCTACAACTCAAGTTCCCTATTCGCTTACAGTCCTAAATATTGCCTTCCCTCTGGTATGGAGTTGCCAGCTGTCTTTTTTTAAAATTCATTCATGAGATGTGGGCATTGCCAGCCAGGCCAGCATTTATTACCCATCCATAGTTGAGAATCAACCATATTGCTGTGGGTTCAGAGTCAATGGTAGCAGTTTCCTTTTCTAAAGAACACAGTGAACCAGATGGGGTTTCCAACAAGCAACAACAGTTTCATAGCCATCATTAGACTCTTAATTCCAGATTTTATTGAATTCAAATTACACCATCTACCATGGTGGGATTTGAACCCTGTTCCCCAGAACATTACCTGGTTCTCTGGATTAATAGTCTGGTGATAATACCATGAGACCATCACTTCCCCTGAAGGAACTCGGTAACACTACATTAAAAAAAAATTGTGTGCTTTGATCTCTCACTCATTTTTCAATGCTGTCAATATTAGCACCCAACCGCGCTCTAATTCAATATCATGAGAGTTTATTCTTTAGATAGTATCCACACCCATTTAATCTCCTATGGGAAAGTTCTTCAATAACTCTCCCTGCTTTCCTAAGGGAAAAAAACCCTCAAATTTCTATTAACATTACAGCTTACATTTTTCACCTGTGAGTGATCACCCAGACATTTCCTTCAGCGCCGGCAGTTCTGTTACTGTCTTTCAGAATACCATTAAGAGGTACATCTATCTCCTAATCCTCTATAAAGTTATGGCTGCATCACACAAAAATATAGCACATGAACCAATCACCTCTGTATAAGCTGTAGCTGAACTGCATGCTCAAAGTCTTAACGCAGAATATTTGTACTGAAGTTTTACTCATCACTCGATAGTGCCTACTTTTTTCTGTGCTAAGAACACAACCCCAAGTTTAAACATAAAGTCAGCTGTCACATATTAGGCCATTAGGCCATGGGAAAGTTCTAGGGGTGCCCTTTGACGTCCCTCAGACAAAGTATCCAGCGTTTCTGTTCTTGGGAACAATAACATTGATTTATTGAAACATTTGTCTTTGTGTTCTGCCAGTTTGGTACTGAATATTTATTTAAATTCTTTCATGGATGCAGGAATGACTGGCAGGGCCAGCATTTGTAGCCCTCATTGCTAATGAGGACAGTTAAAATCAGCCGCACTGCTGTGAGTCTGGAGTCAGACTGTAGGCCAGACTTGGGAAGGAAAGCAGATTTCCTTCCCTAAAGGGGACTAGCAACACAGTGGGGTTTTTAGAAAAAAATCCATGCTGAGCATTTTGCAGACCTTTAATAAATCAATTTAAATTCCACAAGCTGCAATGGTGGGACTAGAATCCATATCCAAACACCATTAGCTTTGACGTCTGCATTACTAGTCTCATGACATTACCATGAGATCACATATCCCCAGTAATAGACTGCAAGATTACAACACTTAATGGTCTGAAGTCCAGAAGATGGAGAATGTGTTAGTCATATATATTAAAAACACAAAGTGCTGGAGAAACTCAGCAGGTGTGGCAATATGTGTGAGACAGAAACAGTGGTAATGTTTCAAGTCTAGCTTCTTTGAAACCCTTGGAACCATGGCTTACCAGGAAGCTTTCCTGCATAAGTGTAAGAGAAAGACTTGTGGGTGATAATCAGGTGGCTGTCTGGCCACGATGTAAAGCCACCTTCCATAGCCATCAAGTCCTGGAGGTGGACTTAAATCTAGAACCTCTGGCTCAGAGACAGAAATACAACTAACTGTGCCACAAAAAAATTGTAGATGAAGTAGTTGTTGTCTTATTCATTCATGGAATGTGGACATTGATGGCTAAGCCAGTATTTATTACTTGTCCTAATTGCCTTTAGGACTGTGATGGTCAGCTGCCTCCTTA